TGCTAACTGCAGTATTATAGCTGGTTATGTTCTTTTAACTGTGGACACTACTTGATGAAAAATAATCTGGTGAGAAATAAATTTAAAGATATGCCCAGCTGGATAGGTAGAAATTAATTAGGAACTTTAAAGCAATATTTTTAAAATTATCTGGATGATGGGGATTTTTTGGTGACTTTCGCTGAAGTGCATGTCTGGTCATGTAATTACTTGAGAACCTGGAGTGAACTGAAGAAAAGTGCTCAGAATTGATATATCTCTTGCAAACTCTGCTCCTGGGCAGAACAAATTCACTGGAGATGAGAAACCTCAGAGTTGATCATTGAGGCCAATTAAATGAATTACTGCAGAAGAGCAGAAGATAATTCATGAGTGACAACTAATCTATTCTAATTTAATTGCACAAAAACTTAATGTGGGTAGTTTCAATGTCTGTAGTGTATTGTGCTATGTATCACACTTTTAGAAAAACATTTTCTGAGACCTGCAGTCATTTCGGTGTTTTGTTATAGATTTATAATATATTGTTTGCCATTAGAGATGTTGTTAGAGAAACCCCACAGAGATAAATGTCATTGTGTCATCTTTGTATTTTGCACAGGGAGACAAAGGGTCCCTCTGACCTGCAGGCACAAATTGTAATTTATTATGAAGAGCATTCTTTTCCCACAGATAAACCTGTTAGCTTTTGTCAGTTTAGGAGGCTATGTCACAGACAGAGAGAAAAATTTCTTATATTTTAATTCCTTTCACTGAAATATCTTGCAGTAAGCCAGATCTTGGAAAAAAATAAAAGACAATAATGAAAGATGGAGATGCAGAATGGACAGAATAAATGTCTATATAGCTCTTCTGCCTTGTTATAAGCCAAAGTGTCTTTTGGTTTGTATATGTCGGCTTCATTAAGTGAGACATAAGGCACTACTTACACCGACATGCCAGTTGCTTGACCTAGATAGCAAGTAAGAACAGGAAAAGAACATTTTAATCAAATGATTCTTTACTTTCATCTTCATTATTGCAAATGGCTAACTAGTCTTTGACTTTTTCTACTATCTGTCTCACAGTACCTTAAAAAAAGACAGCATCTGATATAATGTAGAGGAAGGAAAATATAATGCATTCATATAGGCACAGTAACGTTCTGCTATCTCTTATGCTGCCTCTTGCTCAGCATTTTTTTCTATCTTTCTTCAATATGCCCCTTTTTATATTATGGGTAGGCATACATTAATCCTGAATGGCAAGAAATCTATAATTAATGTGTCTCAGGTGAATGTCACCGAGGTCTCAGTCATTTCCTCTTTTACGAATCTTCATAAACCACTTACGATGTCTGCCTTAATATCTCCTAAAATGTTCATAGACTCATAGAATGGTTTAGGTTAGAATGAACCTTGGAGATCATTTAGTTTCAACCCCCCTGCCATGGGCAGGGACATCTTCCAGTAGACATGGTTGCTCAAAGTCCCATCCAACCTGGCCTTGAACATTTCCAGAGATTGGGCATCCACAACTTCTTTGGTAACTGTAGAAAGGTGGACAGTAAGGAGTTAATGTGCTGCTATGCCTCAAACACTGATGGCCATTCCAGCATGGAAATTAGAGCACGATGTGGCTGGAAAAGGGAGGTAGGGCAGCACTTTTCTGCGAGAAACTTCCCTGTTCTGGTCCATGAAAACTGCACAACACAGAACAGCAGAAATGCAGGAATAGGGTCAAAGACCAGGTAAGACCAGTAGAGGGGATCAAGACCACCAAAAGACCCTCAAAGCCCCCCAACCCATTTCTAGAAATGTCCAGAAGAACAGACTAACTCATGCATGCTAACATTTGCACGAAGAGTGAGAAACCTAAGCCCAGGATGGGGAAAACTTACCTATAAAAAGGTCCTCCCACAAAGGCCAGGTGCCATGCTTCCAGGACCCTGGACACCCCATTGACTGGACCCACAATTGGTGATCTTCTTTCCTTTCCTATATGATGTCTCTTTCAGTCTCTCCTTCTTCCCTCTTTCTTTTTTTCTTTTACTTTGCTTATTCTTAGAAAGTAGAGGCAAAACATATACTAATATCCATGTCAAGTGTGTCGTTTGCTAATAAAACTTTGTGAGTGGTTTTTGGGTTCTTTTTTTTTGGACTGCTTTGCCTTTTGCTGTTCTTTTTCAGCCACAGGCATTTACAAATCTTGAGTGCTCCCTATCACTACACGCCCTTGCCAAAAGTCCCTCTCCAGCTTTCTTGGAGGCCCCATTTCGGTACTGAAAGGCTGCTGTAAAGTCTCCCTGGAGCCTTTTCTTTTCCAGGCTGAATAACCCAAACTCTTTCAACCTGTCTTCACAGGAGAGATACTCCAGCCCTCTCATCAACTTCACTGCCTTCCTCTGGACTTTCTCCTCAAAATTGTCTTACATCTTGTCCAAATTGTTACATCTAGATGATGTGTGTCTGCATTATGAGTATGTTTAACTGTGACCTTAGCTACAGACAAAAAACACACTGACCTGGATGCACTTATAGAAGTGAAATATTTTGCCTCATCTTGCACAAAATCTTGGAGAGATTTCCATCAATCGAGTTCCTTATACAATTATTTAATGTCACCATTTTCCCTCCTACTGAATACCCTTTGTAAAGTGTTAGGTCATGAATATTTCAGGGTACTCAGAAAATATGAAAAAAAAAAAAGAAAAATCTTATTTTATTTTCAATACAAAATGGAGTTACAAATAGAAATGCTCTCCTTTCACTTAATTTGTGAACCATATTACAAAAGTAATAAAAAAATTAGTTTTCAAATATGATTTTGAAACAGACAGTTTTACTGTGTGAAGATCTCATCACATAAGAGTTGTTTGAAAACCTGTTGATTTCATTTTCAAATATAATTTATGACTTTACCATATAGAAAAAAAAGCCATGGGCATCCATGCAAAGTTGCTTTTTACAAATTATTTTTTTATTTTCTGTTGGATTGAAGGGAGAAATCTATTCAATTGTTTGTCATGGTCACAGAAACCACTGATTTTGGAAAAGCACAAAAGTATTACACGTCCTGATCACACCAAAATGCTACTACAATATATAGCACTTAGAATATCATCTGAACATGGAAAGGTTGCAATGTATTTTTAGGCTTTTCATCAAATACATACTGCCATGAAGATAAAAACAAGACAGCTGTTTTGACTGTTATCATAAATTAAAGTTATCCAACACCCAGTGTGGATACTCAATAAAGTCACTAACTTCACCACCCAAAAAACCCCCAAACCATCATGTAAAATACTTTCATAACTGTTTTACATGTTCAGAAAAGATCTGCTGCCCTGAAGACTGGGAGAAGACATGAACAGTGGAGATACGTGATAAATAATAAAAAACCTCTTCTCAAACATATAGCTCGATGTAAGCTACGCTAAATTAAACAAGAGACAAAACTACCAGAACTGGTGTAGCACCCAGCACCCTTTATCTCTAATTACATTGAAGAGGACAACAATGGAGAATGTGATTACCCACCATTTTTAAACCACTTTCGTGTGAAAAGAAGATTATTTCCAATATAAATGTATGAGTTTATGACAGCTCTGCTTTCTCATATTTTCACTCTTTGACCTTAAATTGACTTAAAGGGATTTGATTACCTTTTATAGGAACAGATGAAACTGAGAAAAAAACTCCTGATTTTTTTTTAAATCACTTTAACATGCTTACTATATTAAGAATGAATTATAAAAGAAATTATACTTAACTGCTGACATTTCGCCCACAAGTATCCAGCTATGCAGATGTTTCATATGATCATATTGAAAGCCCCCACAATTGAAGAAGATAAAATAAAGGAAGATAAGAAGATAAAATGAGCATTATTTTAACTAACTGAAAGGAAAATATTCAACAAATCCACTTAGCCTTACAAATGTTCAAACCTTATAGGATAGCTATTCTATAGCTATAGTATTAGTATCTGAAAAAATTCTTATCCACTAATAGTGACCATCTGATATGGTTTTAAGCTGGCTTCCTGTCAAGTCTCCAAACATTACCACAAGAAGTTCCCCCCCAAACCTCAGAGAGAAGAGGGAGAAAAAAAAACAACCAAGAAAACCGAAACGAGAGAGAGACAGCTAAAGTAATATATATAAATATATTTACACTTATATTACAGTTATATACAATTGAAATATATATACAATTTCACAAGGGAAAGGGAAGGGGGAAGGGAAAAGGAACAAAATCAAAATAAAATATATATCTATCCCGATTAGTAGCCCAATATCTAGCAACTGAAAGAATTGGCAAAAAACTATCTTACTACTCTCCTTGGGACAACGGAGAGTCACGCTGGAACTATCGCCGGCAACCTCCGCCTCCCAAGGTCGACAAGGTCTTACCAGGCCTCGTTCCCCAACACAACAGACTCAACAGCAGGGAACCTGCACCTCCAAGCCTCCGGAAGGAAAGAGAAGCAAAGGTCTTTCCTCCTGTCTTCTTATAGCCTGGCTTACGTAAAAATTGTAGGGAATACTGGGTAAATCTGGCCCCTTCCTTGGTTACAAACTGGTCACCAAGGAAGGCCTAGACCAAACTACCACACCATCTGATCAGACCTTATTAGTTTCTTTAGAAGGAGAATGACCTGTCAGTGTTTGATTATGATGCACTGGCTGAAGTTAGTACAGAAAAGAGAATATTTTGCTTGAAAATGTAGCTGAGGATCTGGGGACTGGTGATTATATTTACTCATAGAAACTCTGAAGCTCTAGAGTATGTTAGGGCCACTAGAAACTTATTGCTGCTTCTACCTTGACTAGTCAAGAACATTATGTTTCAAACCAGAGTCACCAAAGACCTAAACTGCACTGATTTAGTTCAGGATCAAGGTGGAAATGAGTGGAATAGTGACAAAGCAAAATTAGTAGCATTTTACCCAACTGACACGTGCATACTTTATTTTTTTGCTCAAGTGTAAATAAAGTCTTACTTGTCTCTCTACAGCAGCAACAGCTATGAAGCTCATGTTTCAGACACTGCACTACTAGAGGTTTTGATGCCTGACATTCTGAATCCCAAAAGACTTTCATTCCACTTTAAGATTTTGGGATGACTTAACAGAGTCAAAGAGGAAACAGCAACATCTTTGGTGTTGCCAATCTCTCCAGGGCATCATGTCCTGTGCCCAGGCTGGTTGGACAGAGCAGCCTGTCCATCAGACACTGTGAGGAGTCTGCACAACCTCCGTGAGTGACAGCATGGGTCAGAGCTCTCAGGGACCCTGGGACATGTAACTGGCACGGTGGCCTGTCTTCTCACTGCTGTGAGCATTACCAGATTACAGGTAATGTCATAGGTCTGTGTAAAACTGGAGCATCCAGGTCTACAACCTACATCCACACATCTCCTGGAGTCGGGGTACTACAAGCTACAAAAGTAAATGATACTAGCAAAATCAGATTTGTTTTACCTGTGAGATAATAATACTAGTAATTGGACATGACTTGTGATAAGAAATATTAGGAATAAAATTAATTCAGGCAAGTTTAGTAATTCTTTACAATTTTATCTCAGTATTGTTCCTTGAAAAGATGTGACAGAAATATTTTCACAACTTATCAAAAGATTTAAAGAGTTGCTTAAATCTATGATGCAAGCAGCACCATAACTCATTGTTCTGAATTAGTTTTCTTAGTTTGTTTTGTGTTTCTATTTTCATTTTATAATAAGTATATTTATATTACCTTTATTTCTTAAGAAATTTAGTTTTTCCCGTTTAAGGCAGCCAGAAACATAAAAAGGTAAAAGCAAAAAAAAAGTAATGATATTCTAAAGTAAAATCAGATAGTTACCTGACAGTAGCTTCAATCTGGTGACTTTCTAGATAAAGAAAAAAGTCTTAAATTTTATACTGGTTGTCTTCAGATCATGCAGTTCTGAGTAGGTTCAGAATGAAAATTTCAGCAAAATTTTTGACTAGCCAGTACGGTAAGATTTCTTATTATCTTTTACTTTATCTAAAACTTTAAGTTTTAGAAAGAAAAAGAAAAGAAAAGAATACTACGTAAAGATTCATAAGTATTTTAAGCTTTCTGTAAACATCTTAAAAGCAGTAGCAGATCTATTTTAAGACACTGGATTGTAGTCTTCCCTATGTTACTAGGTGAATTTAGAAAATAATAATTTTAAATTATAATACCAAAATTATTTTAAAGATGAAATGTAAAACAAACTTTCTCTTATTTTAAATAATTCTACTCAAATAGGTATTTTTAAAAGTATGCAAAAGTGCTTTTGTTTCATCTAAATATTTTTTCTATATTAGACAAACCTATTTGCAAGCTAACTTTAATGGAAAAATATGGTTTCAAGATTTCATACTGTACATAGTGTTCTTTTATGCTTTGTGGACAAATATTTTTTTCTTTGCTCTTCTTTTGAAATGCAGTACAACTGAAAAAAATTTCTGACAGGTACATCTTTCTGTATCTGTATTTTAGAAACATACTTTTCTGGGATTTCTGTGGGGTTTTTTGGGGTTTTGTATCTGTCCAAAGAAAGCATCGTAACTAAAAGATGGATATTTCATGTGTGACCTCAACATGTCTAGAACAGAGGATTTTTTCTAGAAAAAACTCTCATTGTTATTATTGTTGTTATTAGTATCTGTACAGACAATAATAAAGTTTCATCATAAAAGGTATTTACCCTGATATGAATTTTTAAATACATTTCCTAAAAGGAGAAGTGCCTTTGTACTAACATAAAACTGAGTGGATAGATACTGGCTGTATTTCCATTCATTCTAGATTATGTCTAAGTGTTCCATGGGGAAAAATATAAAAAGAAAAATTTTCTACATCAAAAAGAAATTAAAACATCTGTAAATGAAAATGGGATATATACTGTAAAATAATTACCTTCATCAACTGACCTTTTGGTTCACTGGACTGTATGAAAGTAAATGTCTGCACTAACTCAGACTCTTGGAATAAACTTTTATTATTTAACTGTATGTACATTAGCAGATGCATGATTAGTGAGGAAGTCCACATCATTGATTAGATTGACCAGCCTGTGATTCAGCTAATCTGGGTTCAGATTTTTTGCTGTGTGATGAGTTTTAAAAGCAATAGCTTCCTAAAAATGCAGATAGAAGATGAATGGGATTTTTGAAATCATTACAGCTTTTAAGTACCATTGAAATCAATAAATACTAATAACAAGATCCAAAAATGCACTTAGGCATCTGAAGTACATGATAGGCATCTGAGACCCAAAGGATGATTCAAAAGCATTAAGGTACGAAGAGTAAGTTTGCGACTGTCTTGTTGCAGTGAATGCCCAGGAGTTACTGCTGTTACTTTGGCAGAATAGTGCATTGAGGGGTGCCTTCACACCCCATGGTAAGACTAGGCTGCTTTAAAGTTGGGGTGAGTGTCCTCTGGGGGGGAGACAGGAGGACAAGTATATACAAAATTTAACATTTTGACTGTTTTGAAAGAAGGGTCAAAATGTGGTTTCTCATTTTGGAACTAATTCTGCTTTTATCCAAGGTTCCATACAAAATCTGAATTAGTGTCCAGGTCTCGGTGCTGCCTTGCACTCCCTGGCACAATAGCCTACTAACTAGAATAGGCTCCTGCAGACTAACAAGGCTGACTTGAAAAATAAAGCCAGAGTTGCTGACTCATGTGACTATAGAAAAAGTGGATGTAGGTTCTCTCCTCCTAACCTGCTTCCTGTCTTCTTCAAACAAACAAAAAATCAAAGAAAATGAAAGAGCAATTCAGTTGCCTCTGACCAAATAGGCACTTCAAGCTTATGAATCCTCAGTTCATTGTGCTTGCCTTAGCCACAGCTAGCTTTCAAAACCTTGCTCTTGTAAACCATTTTGTCCTATTTTTACATTTTTGTGGACTTTAACATTTCTAAGAGATTTACTTTTTCTGCATCCGAGCTTTTCTATCCAAGTGTTTTAAGGATGGTAACAGTAATGATTGAGAGGTGATAATATTTTTTCTGCAACCAGAACAATATGAATACCACATATAAATTCCTAGTATTACATTTCAAGAGAAGAAAAGCCCATTCCAGATAATTGCAACACAGTTAATCTGAGTCATCACTGAAGTGAGCAGTATTTTATCATTTTGTCATGAAACTTTCTGGATCATTCCTACACTTGGGCTTACTATGTCCCTTCATGAATTATGGGCAGATATACAGTTGTTAGACTGGAGACAGTACTTTTCAAAGTGCAGTCAAGGTTAAAATGAGCAAATTGAAACAGAAGAACGTTTCTAACAAATATCTTCTTCCAGAACAAGTAAAGAAAGCCTGGTCCCTCAGCGTGGAAGACAACATGGATGCATCCCAGATCCAAACATTGGCACCTCATCGATTATGTCTCGGTGCGACGGAGAGATGTCCGCGATGTCCACCACACCCATGTGTGCTGGAAGTCACTTTAAAGTGTGGGCTGGAAGTCAGCTTAAAGAAGACAGAAGTTCTCTGTCAACCAGCACCTCAGGAAGTCTTCCATCATCCCCATATCACCATTGGTGAATCAGTGCTCAAATCAGTCCAGCAGTTTAATTACCTAGGTAACCTCATCTCCTCGGACGATAAGATTGACAGAGAGATAGACAACAGGTTAGCAAAGGCATAGAGTGCTTTCGGAAAGCTTCATAAAAGAGTTTGGTGTAATAAACACCTGAAGAAAGGTACCAAGATCAGTGTTTACAGAGCCATAGTGCTGTCTACTCTCCTGTATGGATCTGAATCATGGGTCACCTACCGCCACCACCTGCGTCTCCTAGAACGCTTCCATCAACGCTGTCTCCGCACAATCCTAAACATTCACTCGTCAGGTTATGTGACCAATACATCTGTTCTAGAATAAACAGCAGTCACAAGTATTGAGGCCATGTTGCTGAGAACACAGCTGCGATGGGCAGGACACGTCTCAAGGATGAAGGACCACCGCCTCCCTAAGATCGTGCTTTATGGTGAACTTACCACCGGCTGCCGCATGAGAGGAGCCCTGAAGAGAAGATACAAGGACTCTCTGAAACAACATCTCAGCCTTGGCCATATTGATCAACGTAACAGGTCTACTCTGGCCTCCAGTCGGGAGATCTGGAGACACATCATCTATAACGCTGCTGATGCCTTTGAGAAAGCACGCAGGATCACTCTCGAGGAGAAAAGATAATGCAGAAAGAATCGTGCCCTGCAGAATTTACCACCTAAGGAGTCTTTCTGCTGTGCCTTTTGCAACCGGACATGCCTGTCTCGTATTGGCCTTTTTAGCCACCAGTGGGCTTGTGACGAACGTGGATAGAGCCTTTCCCAAATCTTCGTTCGCGAAGCCCAGCCATGAGACTGGAGAAAGTACTTTTCAAAGTGCAGTCAAGGTTAAAATGAGCAAATTGAAACAGAAGAATGTTTCTAACAAATATCTCCTTCCAGAACAAGTAAAGAAAGCCTGGTCCCTCAGCATGGAAGAGCAAACTGGCAAAGCATCAGCCTTTAAAAGTAAAGAAAGAATCAGTCACATGAAAATTGTTCTACATATTTATAAGAAAGGACTGTACAAAACCAGAAAATGAATTATTTTAATTTTGAGAAATAAATGCCACATTAGTGATAAAAATCTGAAATGAATTAAACTTTGTTGATATCCTTAGTATTATTTAGAATTCTGGTGGATACATCTCTATAAATATATATTTTTAAAAAATCCAGGTAGAAGTTTAGATAATAAAATATGTAAAATATAAATTCTTATATTCTGTTAAATTTTTGTAGATTGATATTTGTATGTGTACACATAATATATTGCATTATATAGACAGCATATATATAACATGTACACAATCTTTCAAAAAGAATATGGCAGAATGTTCAAACATTGATGGCTGTTAAAGAGAAAAGCTAGATATTATTTCTAACTTTGGAAACTGTTAAATTGCTGACTGGCAGAGGTTAGGGCAGTAGGCCAGGGAAAGGTCGCTCTATACACTGCTCTTACTCATCCTTCTTTAAAAGTTGTTATAGGTTAGAAATTCAGAATTTTTCTTTCCCCTGCCCCCCCACTGTAGGAAAGATGAAGTTTGAATGCAAACAGGGAAGGGAGTTAATTAGCCTTACAAAAGAACTAGCTAGCCAGACCACATTCCTCACTGAAGGCCCATCAGAGGCTGGGGGAAGAGGGGAGGAGTTTTGGGAGGGGGTGGCTGGTTCTGCTCGGAGGGGAGAGATTCAGACTGCTGGGTTCTCTTTTGGGGACGGAGGCAGGGTCTGTGCTTGGTGTATTTGGAGAGAAGGCCTGGAAGCCTGTCTTTCTGGCTTCCCGTCCTGTTCAGCCCTGACTGCTGGCTTCAACTTGCCTGCGAGCTGTCTTTTGTCTCCAGCCCAGACCTGCTGCGTTTTCCTCGGAGAGTCTCTGTGCTTGGTGGGAGAAAAGGAGGAGCTTTTGGGGCGTCATCAACTGAGAACAACAGTGAGTCCTGTTGGGGGTGAACTGCTGTCCTTTTCCTTTCCTTCCATTGGGGGAATAGTCTTTTCAGCTTCTCCCGTGACCCGAGACCACCCCCAGACCCCCCTCCCTGTGTGGTGACCTCCAGTGATCCAACAGCGCCCCCTG